AAGAGATCAACCAAAGGACTTGTATGCATGCATATAAGCCTAACCAATGGACATAAGACACTGGGGAATAGGGGAGGCTAGGGAACTGTCTAGGGCGGGGGAAAAAATGGACACATATGTAATACCCTTTGTAATAAAAAATAAAATTTGAAAAAAAAAATAAAATGATATCCCTTACAAAACAAAACAAAACAAAACAAAAAAACACCCTAGGCTTTCCCAGTGCTTAATGGATCAAGTATAATTCTTTGCCCTAATATTCAATGCCCATACTCAGTCTAATTTTTCAGTGTAATTTGATACAGCATTGCACATTTACCATTGATGACAGAACATGTCATCTCCGGCCACATGCTCATGCTATTTGCTTCACTCAGCATGTGTTCCTTACATATCTCAACCTCCAGTTGACATCCTTGGGTTTTCTCTGTAAACTTATATGGAATTTCTCTAATATTTCTGTAATGCAATTATTTATGTGTGTCTTATTCCCCTCTGTTGCAAGATCCTTAGGAGATGAGATTAAGTCTTCCCCAACTGTATGCTCTGCAGTGCTCAGCATGGTGCCCTGTATATAAACAACCCTTTGTAAATGTCTTTTCAGCTAATATAAGCCTTGCTTTGATCTGGTTTCTTGCTGGTGAGTCTCAAAAAGGGTCAAAGACATTGCTCTCTTGGAAATAGTCTAGTGTTAACCTTAGTCTAAAAACTGATTAAATGGAAATATTCATATATTATATTTCCAAGCCATAAGGGAGACTTAATTGAAAAATGCAGTTCAACCTCTTATGGCAACAACATCATGAACTCCCTATTTTGGGGTTCTAACAACATGTATCATTAATTTAACCTATTCACTTTGACAAAGTAATATTTACTTAGTGGATCACCACTCTATCCTGTTTTTACAAATGCTACTTGTTATAAACCTTTTTGAATTTCAAATATTGTATACTCCTTAACCACATTTAGTACTTATTTCTCTATAGTAGGGATCATCTTCAAATGGGATCAATTCCATGTTGAGGTCTACTTCAGGCATATTTTTCTGAAAAGTCAAAGTCCATGGGCCAAATAATTTTTTTCCCTAAGGAACTGAGAATAAGCCATCAAAATAATTATAATGATAACATTATGATATCTAGAAAGAATCCATGTTCATTACTAATATCCTCTTTTATAATTAGCTTTAGCAGGATATTTCTTTTAATAAAAACAGTTATTTTCATGATTATTTTAGAGGCTTAGTTGAGAATTATCAATTTAACATCACTTAAAAAATTCCAGCTCGGCCAGAGTGGCTCAGTGGTTGAACATCAATCTATGAACCAGGTTATGGTTTAATTCCTGGTCAGGGCACATTGAGCCCAGGGTTGTGGGCTCAATCCCAGTAGAGGGCATGCAGGAGGCAGCTAATGATTCTCTCTCTCATCTTTGGTGTTTCTATCTTTCTTTCCCTTCCCCTTCCTCTCCAAAATTAGTAAAAATATATTTTTAAAAATTTCAAGTGAAAACATAAATTAGTTGAATTAAGCATACAGCTTGATTTGGTTTGCTTACCTTTCACCCTTACAAAACACTGTATTACTATATATTTGCCTTTTATTTCCAGTAATTTTAACACTTTTGGCCTTAACTTTCATATATCCCAAGAAAGCGCTGAATTTTTTAGAAAATTAAATGGGTTTTTAAAAACACCTACATACACAATAAATTCTATTGTGTTCCCTTTTCATTTTAAATTTGTTGAAAGTTAGTTTCAGATCTTAGGCCAAACTACACTGAAAAGGAAAATTTTTATGCAAAAAATATGGCCTGGAGATTTATATATCAAACTGTGAACAAAGTTACTTCTGGAGAGGAGTGTAGAATGATAACTTTTATATATTTCTTTATGAGTTCATGTATTCCAATGGATGGGTACACATGAGAACACCAATCTACATTATTTCTACTTACACTGATAGATGTGGAGAAAGGTTTCCCTGAGCTTGTTGGTGAAAAGAGGCTCAGGGAGGTCCCGGAAGAACTGTTTCACCATATCTGCCACATCATAAGCGGATTGGTCCTCATAGCTGAGGTTCTCAGGGGATTTCTCGTTCATTTGACGTAAGGCCTGGATTCTAGATTTCACACCAGATTTTCGAAAAAGGCCCACCTGAAAAAGTCACAGGGACATGTTAGTGAGGCCATGTTTGCCCAGACATTCTCTTCCTAAGACAACACCTTGGTAGTGATGAGAAGGTGTGGAATCAAGCCTGGATAAACAGCAATTGCATCCAAATAAGTAAACTGTAAATGACTAGTTTATCTACTTTGGATAGCAGTTGAATACTGATTCCTCTCCTAAAAAATGAAGATAAGAATAATAATACCCCACCTCACGGGGCTATTGAGGAGACTAAATGAGAATATATATGTGACTGTGCTTTGTAACTTTTTAGAACACACTAGATGTTATTATTTTATTCATTTATTCAACAGGTAGTGGTTAAATACTCACTATTATATCAGGCATATTTACAGTTCATTAGTGAGCAGACCAGACAAAATTTCCTGCCCCCAGTATTGACTAAAGTGCGGGTTTGAGAAAGTTTGGCCAATGGAAGGTTTGGTGGATCCCAGATAAACAGCCATATCAGTGCTCCTTTTGGGGGTGAGGTTTATAGTAACGATAAGCGTGTATTTTTATTTCAGAATCTTATGATGCTTTTCCTTTTTCAGAATTTTTGTAACACTGGCTATGCATGTTTTTCAGGTGATGACTGGCACTTACCAGTCTGCCTGGTTAATTATTATGTGCATAAGCTCTGGATCTAGTGAGAATGATTCCTGGGCGGCTTTTCTTCAGACTTCAAGACATTGTCTTATGCCTCTTTCATCCCTAAGCTTTAGAATCTTACCCCAGTTGACAAAGAAATGCAGCAATAAGGCATGAAAGAAATGAAGGCCCTGATAGGGATGAGGGAGGTGGAGCAGAGACCTATGAGGCGGGGGGTTCCTGCAGGTTACACTGTGGGCCCTGTAGACTCTGAACATTCTGAGCTTCCCTGGGACCCCTGGTTTACAGTGAATTAGTATGTCTGCTATTTTTAAATGCCTGTAAGACACTGAGTTGCTCAAAACTCAGTCCTTCAAATCTCAATCTACTTTTCTCACTCCGCAAGGACTTATAGGTTGGCCCACTTTTGAAAGCAAGATGGAAACATTCCCAGGTGGCAAGTAAGCATTGGCCTGTCATCTATAGACCTGGAGAAATGTGCCAGTCACCTCACCACTGCTCTGTGTACCAGGCAGGCCTCAACCCAAGTTCAGGGTCTGAGGAGAGCTCTCTTGGTTGCGCTATAAATAGAGAGCAGCCCTAATTCTTTAAAATTGCAGTAACAACAAGGGAAGAATTCTAAGCAATCAGAGAATACTGAGGTTTTTATATATGTCAGCTGAGTGGATCACAGGGGAATTATACCCTGCTACTTTTTGTGGAAATAAAAACAGAATTATGAGTAATACGTCTTTGCATTCCAAGGCTTATCACCCTAATTCCGCAGATGAGGCTATTCAGGCATGTCACTTAAAATATTAACTACTTTAATTTTTATCCTTAAAGTTTGCCATGTCTAGGAAATGCAACACTTGGCCATACTTGGGTGACTCTCCAAGAAGAATCTAAAGAACCCTCTGGCAACTACTCCAAATTTCATCAAAGTGCATGAGAAGAAAGCATGTACTGTCAGAAGAAAACTTCAGGATGTCAACTGAGTGCTCCCTGAAGTGAGATCCAGCCTGAATTTGTTTACATCTCAACTTTTCTAATTCTGGAAGGAGGCCCAGGACTGTGCGAAGGGCTGTGTTGCACAGGAATGCTCAGAATCCAAGTGCTCATAAAGTGAATTCTTAAGTGTGAGTCACATTATCTTCAGGTGAGTTGGTGTTTACTCAGTCTGAGAATTCCGGTTTACTATTTTTAACAGCAGAGAAAAGTTGATCAGGATTTACTGGTATAAAGAGAATAAAGTAGATAAGTGTTTGTGTGAAAATTGTTGAACGCGGTTCTTCTTTTGCCCACTTCATCTTCCTGGTGTGGTTTCTGGTGCACACTAATGTGCATGTACACACATCTCAGCAATGTTTTCTTTGTACTGTTCTGTTTCCAACTTTCTTTCCAGTTTCATCAAATATTGTTATTTTAATTATTTTAGACATGTCTGTAGCACTCCAGCTGTGGGTTCAGAGCTGCTTGTTCTGACTTAGGTCTCACAGGCTGTCCAGAGAGTTGTCAGATATTTATTTGTTCTTCCTCAAATTCTGACAATAACCTTTCCACCCCACCCTCAGCTTCCAAAGGGTGTGGAAAATATCTGTGGGTTCTGTGGATTTTGTTAGAAGCACAGAAGTACATTTCTTTTCTAACTGTAATAAAGAAAAGGTGGTCTGAAATCAGACCAGATTCCCTATGTCATAGTTGAGGATGCAGAAGGGAAAGGTGGAAAGAACCCCAGTCTTCAAAAATGTCTTTGAGCTGATGGAAGAACTAACCCTGGAACCATCCCACTTTCTGACTCCTTATGTGAGGCTCATGAATTTCCTGCTGCTTCAGCCATTTGGGAACTTCTGTTATTTTCAGTGGAAAACTCGCTGCACACAGTAAGTAGAAGTTTCCTTTAATGGTGGAGAGATCCTTAGACTAGAGAGAGCTTCTATCAGCCTTCATGGAATAACCTTGGGTGGCGGCATGAGTGAGTGCCAATACTCATTTCTTCCGCCAAAAGTTTTCAGAGCAGTGATAAAATTGGTCTTTTGGGCTAAAATTTTTTCTAAATACAAAATGGAGAACTGAAGAAACAATTTAAAATCTGTTGCCTCTAAGAGCACCATGTCATCCCCATTGAAGGAGGCCACCCCAGATCCCTTAGCTTCTTAAGAGGAAGACTCAAGGAGTGCACAGTGTCTTTCATTTGCTCCATGTCTGTCACTGGTAGACAGGCGACCAGGGCCTCACACTTGGTTTAATACTCTGTTGTCACTATTTTGAAATTCTTAACTTATAAACAAGGAATTTCACATTGTCATGCTCCCACCCACTTTAAATCCTCCCTAAAAAGGGAAGAATAGTGGTCAGCAATGCAAATTAATTTTATATGCATCTCCTTTGCATATGAGCTCTTATTTTATAAGGATGAGTGATGAGTGCTTCTTTGGACTAGTTTTTTTATTCATCTCTCTTTTGTCTTCCAGTTAACAACTCAGCTATGAAAAAGCAAGCACACAAGGTACAATTGAAAAAGACAGGCCCCAGATCCTCACTCATCTCATCTGGGGTAGGCAACAGGGAGTGTGATGAACAGGCAGCAGGTAGAGGACACTTGTACTGAGTATGAAGAATCTTCACAGCATAATTTGGCCTTTAAAATTTACTTCTCCTTTAGGAGAAGTTGGGCATAAACATTGCATTAGAATTCAAATTTCATCTAAATAATATTAGGTCTCCTTGTTGGCATCCTGTTTGTGCTAATGATGTTTATCAGGACTTCCATTTCCTCTTCTTAAGAAATGTGCTCAGCTAATGAAGAAAGGTTGGTTTTATTCAGAAGACAGGGTCTTAAGGGTAGTATGCTGTGGTTTTGATTTTAAGCACTGCGGGGTTAGCCTCTCCTGCAGAGACCTCATGTTTATCAGGAACCTGGTAGAATCTACACTTCTTTGTACAGTTGATTTAGGGCAGAAATAAAAGCTCAGCCAACAAAGCAAGGCTCCTCTCACACACTGCTATGTCTGAATACTAATGGTTCATAATTGAAGGCTAAACTCCCTTATTTCATCTGAAGCCAGATGCAAGGGCCAAAATGATACACTGTGTTTGGTCATATATAAACTGCTCTGCACTTAGGAGTGTAGGAGGTGAAACGTTGGCAATGTTTCAGGACCCTGTCTTTCACTGTTTACCATGAATGCTTGTGTTTGAGATGAATGCTTAGCTTCAAGGGAGGGGGCCCAACTCAGGGCAGGAAGCCTCCCTCCCTGTGGGTAAGGGCAAAGCCTTGGGGTATGCTGGATGTGGTGTGAGGGGACCACATAGAGGGAGGCACCATGATGGCCAGCCACCTGTGATTTAGAGGAAGCATATTATGAGATGTTCTAGTCTTCCATGACCCTAAGGCTGAGATCTCAAGCTCCTGGGTGACCTTAATCTTTTCAGTTCAAAGGAGGTGCTGTTGGTGAAGAAAGAACATTCGTTTAGTGTTATGTCTGCTTTTTCCTTGTGACTCTTGCCCCTTCTTTCTTTTCGGATTCATTTGCTTTTATTTGCTCTTATTCGCTCTGAAGTCTCCAGGACAGTCTTCCTCTTGACTGTAGTTTTCTTTGATTCTTCATTATATTTCTCTAGTTTTCCCTGGCCCTTTTCCTGTTACCACTTCATTATTCACAGGGAGCAGAGGTTTGGGTGCTTTCACACTCTGATGACGAAGGGGAGAGACATATATTCTTCTATAATTAAAAAGTAGTTATGACTTGATATGGAAAGTGGGAATAGACAGTGAGTAGGGATTGAGGAGGTTTTGGTGACCACTATCCTTCTCTCTATTCATGTCTTTTGCTTCAAACAGCAGACTGGACCAATAATAGTAGTGATACTGGTGCTGCATGTTATTCAGACTCTATAGGGGCCATGGCTGACTGGTTCCCAGTCTATGTGATGAGGAGAGCAGACGTATTACAATTCATTCATTTATACCTAATCTTGCTCAAGAAAGAACTCCAGGCTACTTAGAATGATCTATAAAATACAATAAAATGCAATTAAATTAAAGAAAATAGAAGAGAAAATTAGGAGTGGGAAGGGAAATGGGGACCATGCATTTAATTAATTCAAAGCTGGCATCAAACAAAGAAGTTACTACTATTCTGCTGCACTGAAAATTGGTATCTGATTCTTCAAGAGACCATCCTGATTCTACTAGTAACTTTTATCTTGGTATTAGGGTTGATATAAGCATAAATAGCCAGAATCTTGAGTTCTAGTAGCTTGGCTCATTCCTGTCCACTGAGCCCAAGTCCAGGGGTAAATCAATAAAAATTACAAATAATCTTTGGTTTCTTCACATGGCGTTAAAGAGTATAATGAACAAAAGCCATATTGAATAGTTGTCTAAAAATATTCCCACTGCTCAAGGTTGCAATTTATCAAGTGACAACATGGCTTTTATTTTGGAAAGAATGTCTAAGAAACTAATGGGTATTAATTTGGAGAAAAAAAGACTTGGTCTAGAAATTTATAGGATGTGTAGCACTTTGGGCCCAATCATGGTCTACCATGTGGTGGTCCCCAAACAGTCCTGGAGACAGAAAATGATCTCCAAATATTTTGTTTAGCTTGAGCTTTTAAATCAACTCTACAAGATGGGGGCATATTTGATTTAGCTGATATTTGTTTTCATAATTTACTTGCATATTTTAAACAGTTGTAAATAAATTTGTCTTTCCTTTAATTTTCCTGGTCATAATGCTGCTTCAAAAAAAAAAAGAATAAAAAAATATAAAAACTAATTCTTTTAAAAGAAAGGTAACAGGGCTAAAAGAAATGCTATGAAATCAATGGTGGCATTAGGACAATAATTAAAAAGGAAATGCAGTATATAATTTCTAGGGAATGCAAATTAGACACCACAGCTGAAAACTATTGACATTAACTTTCTGCGGTCACTCCAGGGAGTCATTCAAGGTGCCAATGAGAAAACATGCTCAAACAGCTTGACGAAATATAGCCTGGTCAAATTAAATATTTGTATATATAAAAGCTTAAGCGACTGAAAGTCCGAATGTTTGAACGACTGGTAGACCAGCTGCTAGGATGTGCACTGACCACTAGAGGGCAGATGCTCAATGCAGGAGCTGCCCCCTGGTGGTCAGTGCACTCCCACAGCCAATTTTCCACTGACGGCCAACTTCCCACAGTCCCTCCCCCTGGCCAGCTGGCCCAGATTGGCCCTGATCGCAGGCCAGGCCCAGGGACCCCACCGTGCATGAATTTGTGAACCTAGCCTCTAGTTGACCTATAAAGATCACAATGCCTTTTATTTTCGGTGAAGCTCATTTTTGTCTGATGCTGGACAATGACTCTGTCTGGCATTTCATAAATCCAAACCTGTGTTTTGGATTTCCAACCATACCTGGTCAAGGCAGTTGCTGCGAAGATATCTGAGTGCTTGCTGAATACTCTGAGGCAGGGGCTGTCCTGTTCTCTGGACGTGAACTATAAGAGGAACGCCAAAGACAGTCTTGTCTTTGTAATCAGGAACTTTCATCCTCTTCATGAACTTTGGAACTGACCTAGAATTCACAGAAACCAGGTCATCAAGCCTCCTGGGGCCTACTGTTGGGAGAGGCTGTGAAAGCAAGCAAGAGGGTAAAGCCAAGCTTTTGTAGGAATAGCCAACAGGCATGAGGGAATTCAATATTTCTCTCTTAATTAATCACAGTACATGGAAGGACAATGTGTGCCCCTTGCCTATGTTAGAACTCTATTATACAGCATGATTCACGTTAACAGATAGATTTATGGCTCTGTTTTCAAATCAAGTGGTCGACTTTCTAATTTAATTGTTACTACAAACCTCTCAAGTAATAAACACTTAAAAGTCCCCAACACGACTAAATGAAACTTAAAAACTACAACCACAAGAAGAATTAACTTAGTTGGGTTGGGGTAGAAAGAAAGGGAGAGAAGATAAAAAGCATTTCTTGGCTATAATTTTCTAGAAATAATTGTACTTTTTAAAGGAAATTTTAATACACAAGCACATTAATTTGATCATGCAACTTATAACTTTCTAAATTATTTTTATAAAAGCATTGCCAATTCTTCCATATACATAATATATACCATAGGACAATTAGTGACACATTTAATATTTTTTCAAATCATCTAAAATAGGTCCACATTTAAGTTCCAACACATGCTTTGTCAAGTCCTTATTACAAACATTTTACTGCATATTCTTGTTTTTATTTGCCAATTAAATAAAAGTAGACATGTCCCTGAAGAATGAAATGCCTTTTGAATGAATCAATGCTCTAGTACTAGGTGTTGAGCTCTTCATTGGTCTGAAGGTACAAATAACAGATGTTTCCTTGCAAACTGCCAGAATTACTTTACAGCAACTTTATTTTTAATTACTCTGATCACAATTAATCAGCTTTTACTTGATTACTTGACTTTTGTTCTTGTTGGAGCCTGAGTGCCTTCCCTGGACACTGGCAGAGAGCTACAAATAAAGCCATGCTTCCTGCAGGCTACATCCCCTCCCAGCCAAGGCAGCCCAGGAAGCAGACAGTAAGGCAGAACTCTGGGCATTATTTTCAGGAGGTCAGCAAGTAAAGGCAATGATCAGGTTTTCAGAAATCAGAAAGCAAGTACTAAAGCTTTTGCAATCACACGCTTAGCTCTAGCCAAATGATGCTCTCTGGAGTGAACATGCTACGCACCATGCCCAGCCGTGTTTGTTGGACATGGAGTGCTTCTCCATGATGGCCGTGAGGCAGAGCAGCGAGAAGCGCTGGAGCAGGTTCAACTGGCCAGCAGTCTGGTTGCTGATGTGGGGTGATGCCGTGGATGGCTGAGGCTGGTGGGAGAGCTGGAAACTGTTCCATCGGAGTCGCCTTTACCAGAGAGACCATCAGAGAGGCAGTCACAAAGTGGATATGTTATCCAGAAACACAGGATGTGACTAATTTTTAAGTGGTTATTCAAAATAGGTTCAGTGCCAAGAAAATCATCAAGCAAATGAAAACAGAAGACACAAATGCAAAGAACAGACCAAAGAAACTACTTTTTCCAAGTCCGATAAATCTGGAAAAAAGTCATTATCTGTTTTATTAGGAGGTATAAATAAGTTATATAATAATTTTCACTTGTTCATCCCTAAATTTGCTCCCAAATGTTGAAAGCAGCTGTTGTGTGTGTTGGTGTGTGTGTGTGTGTGTGTGTGTGTGTGTGTGTGTGTGTGTGTGTGAGAGAGAGAGAGGGGGGGGGGTTTGGGGAGAGGGATAGGAAACGAGATCTCAATGTCAATGTTTGGGAGCACTAGAATATTTTTATATTGCTACCCTGTCCCTGCACTCACCTCTCGTTTGGTTTGATATGGAGCCTGATAGGCACAGATGAAGCACTCCTGATGTCATGACACATCAGTGAGTCCCAAGAGACATCACTGTCTCCACTAGAAGCACACACATTATTACTCTTTCTACCAGTTAGGCCCATCCAACGCCATTGCTCTAGGGTACTTCTGAAGTGGTCTTTGAACAACAGCTTTTATATACTTTGTAACTGATATTGTAAAACCAAACTAAACTTATGAAGTACACATTTTAGATATCAGAATTTTCTCATACAATTAAATAAAAAATAGTTTAACATTTGTGGTAGAGATATTTTTTAATCAATACTGTTGCAAGGTCATGGAAAGCACCTGTGTACAGGCACTGGGCCTCCATTATCAGTGATTATGAATGGTACCTCACATAGAACTTTGCAATAAGCTCATTTAAAAAAAAAATAAAACTAAGATTGAATTAGAGGGTACACTCAGAGAAATAAAAGTGAGATAATAGGGATTTAATCACCATGTTAACTGTAGAGAAGACATACTTCTGTTCAAATGATTCCTAACCACATACATCACTTAACAGTGTCAGGCATTTAATAAGTGCTCTATAAATGTTTAAAAAATAAATACACAGACCATAATTATTAAGAAGTGGATTAAAAATCATTTCACAAAATCATGCCACCAACCTGTTTGGCCTAGTCAGAGAGGCCCCTACACCAGAATCCCTTCTTTCTTTGACCCCGGTGGTCTCCAACTCATTAAGTGATGGTCCATCTCTTTCCACATCACTGGGTGTTGTCTGACCTTCAGAAACAAAATTGCCTTCGAAATCTAGGGTTATCTGATTAGGAAATGGAAAGGGACATAAGCCAGGTTTTCCAACCAAGGCCTCATGTGCTTGCAGTTCATTCACTCCCTCTTGGAGGCCACTGACATGGTGCAGAATGTCCTCTAAGTGAGGTAAGAGGTCATCTTTCTCCAAGTCCAAAAGGTCTCCTGTGCTGGCATACAATGGGACGTTGTCATAGATACTGACTCGACTTGCTCTGTGGCAGGAGGCAATGAGCCCAGGCTCCCTGGCACAAGGGCCATGCTGTCTACCCAGGGAGATGCTACCGGTCCTCCAGTTCACCCCATTGCTGTTGTTTGTTGGTGAGAGGCTTTCGATGGACAGTGCCTTTGGGAATGTTCCTGGTTTGTGATCCTTGGGAATGTGTACTACCAAGTTCTCCTGGGAATGAAACTCATGTGTGTGGTTTTGGTCACCTGCATTCCACAGTGCTGTCCCAGCCAGCACATCCAGGTCTTCTAAGTACATGCCCCCGCGCTTGTTGGCCTCCTGGCATTTCCGTTCCTTCAGGCCAGGTGTGCTCAGTCCACTACTGCTGTTTTCTGATGGGCTGCTTTCACCACTCCATTTGCTGGAGCATTGAAGCCCTTTACTGCAGGCAACCGGGAGTGAGTTCTGGAGATCTCCATTAGGTATGTGGATGCACTGCATGGCCTTAAAGGACTCTGGCTCCTGCTGTAGCACAGGCCCGCTGATCACCAAGCCACCTGTCTGCCCCTTATACCTTCCATGTGCTCCTTTTGCTCGGAGTGTTTCCATGCGTTTCAAAAATGATTTAGCTCTGGGTCTACTGAGTTTCTCATTCTTTGGGTGGAAAGGGTAGTTGAGGACGTCTTTGGAGGACTGTGGGAGGCTGCTGCTGAATACCATGGCATCCAGCATGACTGGGCTATCGGAGCAGTACTGGCTGGAGCAGTCAAACGCCTCCCGGCCAGTGCCCTGGCTGCCGGGGTGGCTGCGTCTGTCACTCCCACCACTGCTCTCGCTGTGGATGGAGCAGACCTCAGGCTCACTCAGGTCTGTAAGGACACTTTCACTGCTGGTTGTGTTTCTCATCCTAATGTCTCCAGATGACCCATTTCTGTCTCCCCCAGGAAACAGTGTGTGGAGGTTGTCCACACGAGACCACCGCCGACTGGTTCTTTGGAAAGTCCATTTGTTACTGATACAAAGATCTTCTTCATCTGAGTCTTCACCCTGAAAAACATTAAGGATAGCGCACATTGGCTTGTGGCTCAGATGAAATGGGAAATCTAGGGCCCAGGGGCATGGTCCTCTCATCTCTTCTCCTTTCCCTCCATTTCATGCACACCCTCTGTTTTTTTGGGCACCTTTGACTAAAGGTGATTCCACCATCATGCATGGTCCTGCACACCCTCTTCCTCCCCAGTGGCTAGAGGATCTCTTCCCAACCTGCCAAGCTTTCTTCCTTTCAATTTTCATAGTTTCTGAATCATTCCTTTTTCTCTAAGAAGATTTTCCTGACTGATTACAAAGAAGGTATAATTACCATCTAACTAGACAGTCTAAATCTAAAACATCTGTGATCTCTTTTTCACACAGAAACTTAATCCTGCCATAAAAAGCACTTACTTCTTTCCTGAAACTTCTTCACTGAGCTCCACAACCATATTTCCATCTTCCCTCTTCTGAACCTCAAGGTCACTGTGTCTCAAAGCTAATGATCCTTACCTTAGTCTTCCCAACTTGGTTGTTATTGTATACTAGAGGCCCAGTGCACAACATTTGTGCATTGGGGTGGGGGACCCCTCAGCCCAGCCTGTACCCTCTCGCAGTCTGGGACCCCTCCGGGGGACGTCCACCTGCTGGCTTAGGCCAGATGGCTCCCGCCACCTCCTCTGTGCTCACCACCTGTGAGCCCTGCTTCTGGCTGAGTGGCACTCCCCCTGTGGGAGCGCACTGGCCACCAGGGGGCAGCCTCCTGCATTGAGCGTCTGCCCCCTGGTGGTCTGTGCGCATCATAGAGACTGGTCATTCTGCAGTTCAGTCGATTTGCATATTAGGGTTTTATTATATAGGATTCACTGTATAATTAACAGCAAAATCATCTACTGAATTTCTGTAAGAGGAATTCTGGAGATCACTAGTTGAGGAGAGTCTACCCAGCCTGTGCTGCTAGGCCAGCCTTCTTGTTTTTAATCAATCATGAGTCTGAATACCTTAGGGAGGACACACATCTATGGGCTGCTTGGGCCCCACTAATTTGCCCTGTCTTACAATAGTCTCTTTACACATTTATCTTACCTGTCTGGGTTCTGCCCGAATTTGCATCCCCTGAGAAATGAGTGTCTGGGTTACCCGAGGCCACAGATGGCCTTGTTTATCTTTGCAAGTCTCTCCAGTCCAGCATAGACCTTGACCTAGAGCGCCTAAATAATAATGTCTCCATCCTCACCATGCATATATTACCAGGGCCCAACTCAGATGATTTTCAAATCTATTCCCTCATTTGTATCTTCACTCCTTTTTTTAAGCCCTTGACATTTCTCTCTGGGCCTATTATAGTCAAAACCTGGCTAGAATCCTTGATTCCAGTGTCTTTGCCATCTAAGCAGCTTTTTACAGTGTAATTCAAAGATGATCACATACGCTCCCACCCAAAAAACCTACAGCTTCCCAGGGAATATACAGTAAGAACCAAGTTGGGGAGACTAAGGTAAGGATCATTAGCTTAGAGACACAGTGACCTTGAGGGAAACCTTCCTAACAGTCTTTGGTGTGGAATTCTAAGCCCTTGCATCCTGACTGCCATGTACTTACTTTTCTTGCCTCATTTCAGTTGTTACTCCAGAGTTCCCTTCACTCTGCTCCCTATCCCCCAACCATTCCCCAACATTCAGCAATGTTACAGAGTAAAAGCCACTGCTGTACTTTCCTGGTCTCTGATGATTCTTGAGTACTGGCTCACCTGTGAGGTTCTTCCCTTTGAAGCCTTCCCTGGCTGCTCCAAACAATGATTACTTTCTCTCCTGCATGCCTGTAGTATTTGGATTAGACCTTTATTGCAGTATTTACTCATGTCACACACATCCATCTCAGTCATTCAATATATGTGAGCTCATTAAGAGCAGGGCCTGTGTTTCTGTTTTATTCACATTCACTTCTCCAGGCTCATAGTAACTGCTCAATATATTTTTGTTGATTTAATTCAGTTTATTTTATTTTACTTTGGCATCTGATTCTAAGACCCAGTTCCAAGTGCTGGTAGGACCAGTTAGAGCTTTTATGACTGTATATAAGTTTTTTGCTCCCCCAAAGTTTTTCTCCCTTATAAAATGGGTCTAAAAATAGGTCCTCTCTCATGGGTTCACTGAGGGGATTAAGTGATAAACACAGTTAGCAGTGTTTGTTTATTTGTTATTTTCTAATGTTTATTCAACTGCTTATCTATTGCCTGTCATCTATTTACATACCTATCATCCACCTTAACTCTCTTTAACTTAGCAATGTATTCTATTTTCCAGGAAAGGTGAACAGTTGCTCAGTCAATAAATGTTGAACAACAAATAAATATTGAGATAGTTTATATCTTGAAAATTTACATTCATTTTGGGTTGGATTAAATGACAATTCTGAACATTCAAATATAAGGTGGAAGAAAGTACAAAACCAAGGTACTATTAACAAAGAATTCCATAGCTTTGGGGACACTGTGGAAAACTAGCTTTGAGTTTTAAAAATAATTGTATAAAGGTTTGGCAAAAAAAATTTTAAAAAGTTGTACAAGTGGAAAAAAGGCAAGTCATCTGGGATGATGACACAAAATTATACTTAGTAGCATTTTCTACTTCCTTTCCCCCTATGATTAATACAATAAAACCTGACCTCTGAGGGCCATTATATATCAGGCACCATGATAGATTGAGGGTTGCATTCTGGATTTTCATATCACATTTCAGGAATCTAGTGATGGGAAGTTGACATTAAGTAAGCATTTTGAAAAAAAGCCCTTTCAGCAAATAGTTTTTGAGAAGGCAAAAGAAGGATATGCTTCTAAAGAAATTATAGATATTTTAAAACAGAAACTATAATATTTAGTGCTGGCTCCAATGAGTTCTCTCAAGCTAGCCCAAACTTGGTTACTGATGCTAGTAAATCACATAGTATTTGGATAAGGACTCCTTTATTTTGGTTAAGAAAAGATGCCAAGCTGGGCACTGTGGACTGGGAGTGGAAAGCCTGCCCATGTCTGCTAAACTCTAAGAACTTATTATACTAGCTTTGGGCAACAGGAAGGTAATTACAACCCAACAAAGGCATGTGAAAAGTGGTGACTTACTGGAAAAAAAAGTCAAACAGTTCAGGAAATTTTTTTCAGTATAGATTGAACCAAAACAAACAAACAAAAACCGATAGTAAACATAAACAAAACAAAGAAAAAAACATCCATTCTCTTTTAGAACCTTCCCTTTACCACAGTATGTGCCAAAGGAAATTGACCTGATTCTGTATCTTTTTTTTCCTCTAATGCAGGCTCTTTCAAACTATTGATAGTAACATGTAATAAGAAATATATTTTCTATCACAACTCAAGGCACACATAGATATTATAATCAATCAATCAATCAGACTATTATTATCCTGATATATAATATTGACATATAATATTACATTAGTTTTAAGTGTACAGTATAATGATTAAACATTTATACAATTTACAACCTGATTACCATAAGTTTAGTAACCATCTGTTGTTACAAAGTTATAATATTTATTGTTGACTATTTTCCCTATGATGTACATCCCCATAATCTATTTATTTTATACATGGAGGTTTGTATTTCTTATTCCCCTTCACTTTTATTATCCATGCCTTCATCTCCATCAGTTTGTTCTCTGTTGAAATCATATGGTATTTGTCTTTCTCTGTCTGACTTATTTCATTTAGCTGTACTCTGATATTTTATAATCTAATTTAGTCTGTTTCCTTTTTTAAAAAAAATGTTGTTTGTACCCTGGCTGGCATAGCTCAGTAGTTAGAGTGTCAGCCAACACACTGAAGGGTCATGGGTTTGATTCCTGGTCAAGGGCATGTACCTGGGATACAGGTTTGATCCCTGGACCCAGTTGGGGTACGTGCAGGAGGCAACTAAATGATGTGCCTCTCTCACATCAATGTTTCTCTCTCTCTCTCTCTCTCTCTCTCTCTCTCTCTCTCTCTTTCTCTCTCTCTCTCTCTTCCTCCCTTCCTCCCACTCTCTTTAAAACATTAATGGAAAAAATATCCTCAGGTGAAGATTTAACAGCAACAAAAATGTTGTTTGTGACCCACCACATTTATTTGACAATCCATTAATGGGCCATGATCCACAGTATGAAAAACGTACTATACTAGAGTTTAACTTTTATACACTCCTGGGGCAGCAGATTGCCAGGCATATAGCAAACTCCTCAATAATAATAATTGTGGAATTGTTCTTATTGGTTAAGAAGTAATCAGATTTCATCAGGTTGATAATTTTTTCAGGCTAAAAACAAATTGTTTGATCATTTAGAAATGCAAAATAGAAATGTCTAGGAATCATATGAATTTGTGAGAAAAAGAAACACCAAACAAACTAACTTTATTCACCTATCTTAATGGTTTAATATCATGAAAATACTATGGACATAGACTGTCTGGATTTTGGCAAGGGAGCTGATAAAGGCTCTCCTGCTATGGTTATGCCAGAGATGGCTAACTGTGCTGGATGCCACATAGAGTTTTATTAGCAACTGGTTGAGTAACCCCACCACAGAGTGTGATCCAAAGACTGAACACAACTAAGGAATGATGTCTGGAGGATGCCTCAAAATTATGCTTACTTTAAGAATAACTTGAATGAGCCAGTACAACTCATGTTTTTAAAATATGATGATGATACAAGGTAATTCACTAAGTGATCATGAGCAAGGCACCCTTTTTGAGACTCAATTTTCTCTCTCTAAAATGGAAATGATAACAATGCACATCAAGCATGGTAAGTCAATTTACTCATATGAAATTTTATGTGAAAATACCATATAAACCTTAAAGTGCAAGATAAAAGTAGTCAGGGGCTCATTTGATCTTCAGCCTATTGGCCTGTGAGCTTCACTGGTTTGGTTCCTGGTCAGGGCACATGTCTGGGGTGCAGGCTTGATCCCCAGTAAGGTTTGTACAGGAGCCAGCCAATGGATGTTCCGCTCTCACATTG